TAAGGAAAATATGCACATGGTTCTCTGGTGAGTGAGAAGTGAGGAAAGTGTGTTTAAATCTATAGAACAGCAGGAAGAGACAAGCGTGTTGTCTGGCCTTAGTTGGATAACTGCAGGACTACTAGTAACCTCTCGTTACTGTTCCTTGGGCAGAAAAGTGGACTGTTCTCCTACCTTACAAAGAATAGCCAAAATAAAACTACGCTCTGTGGTGGAATTTCATTGTGCTGGCTCTGGAAAAAAAACAACAAAGACAGGCTGAAATTTAGGCTGCTTAGTAGGTGAATGGCTTCTGGTAGTTTACTTACTTCTCTGTGTTTCAGCCACCTGTGTATACTATAAAATACTTGTCTCATAGGGCTGTTGGGGGAATGAATCAAGATATTGCAAAGAAATGCTTATTGTAATACTGAGAGCACACCCATTGCTCAGTCCATTTTGTCACTGTTAAGTTTCCCCCTTAAACTCTGAAAATCATTTAGACCTCAGAAATCATCTAGTTCAACTCTGGTGCTGTGACAGATCTTCGACATTTTGTTAAGCACATTTACAAACAAGCTTCCATAAAGGAAATGTCTTGACCCAAAACACTCCAATTTGGCTCTGGAGCCTAGGACAGATATCCTGACAGAATCTCAAGTCAGGACCAGCTGTCAATGCAAAATGGCGGCTTTTCAGGGTTGCGTGGTCAGACAGAAAAACCAAAGATAAATAAGAAGGAAAGTTATTTGTTAAAGTGTTTAAAATTGCTTTCATGAATGAGTTTTTCTTACATCATTCTTAATTTTTGGACAGTATTTGATTTCTCCCCTCAAGTACAGTAGTCCTCCCACCACCATTACACCCATGATCTTTGCCCCGTCTGGAAAGTTCTCCCCTAACTTTTTTGACCCTTCTCCCCACTCCACTGACATATGCCTTATATCTATGATCATCTTACAAATGTGTCTCTTCTTAACACTTGTTCAGTTTCTCTGTATTCCACACTTAGGTGAAAGTACCCGGTAGTTATTTCTTTCCTTCTGATTTATTTTGCCTAGCATACTCTCTTCCAGCTCCCATCCATGTTGTTACAAATAGCATGAGTTTATCATTTTTTGGTCACTAATTAGTATTCCATTGTGTATATGAGCTATATCTTCTTGATCCATTCATCTGTTTTGGGGCATTTAGGCTACACCCATATCTCAGCTATTGTAGATAGTGCTTGAAAAAAAGATATATTAAAGTTTAATTGAATACCTTACTATGTGATGCCTTGATTTGTATTTTATTAGCAATTATTATGCTTACATTTGCAAGATGCATTCTATTTATGTACATTTGGATCAGATCTATTTATTATATTTAGTCTTAGAATATTGTCATGTTTATTAGGATTTGGAAAATGTATCCATGGAAGTATAGGAAATAAGAATAATTAAGGAATGTTCATCACTTTTTAATTTGGTGGAGAAGATGGAACGGAGATTTGCATTAAAACTAGTTATATTTCTGTACTATTTTCCTTGAGGAAGCAAGAATGTCCCAGGTGTCCTATGTCTTGAGTGTTTCCAATTCATCATTAAAGTGGGACCCAAAAAAGGTAAAACTGATGGAGGAAAGGCTGAAGCTCAGAGAATGAGAGCTCAGTTCAATGCCAAGAGCCTGGGAGCAGGGATAGGGCATTCACAGAGGCAGGAATAAGCTAAGCCACCATCATATCAGCTTCTCCAGTCCAACAGTTTTTCTACTTCTTTTGTTTGACAAGTAGCTAACACCTTCTGCCATAAACAGTTCTAAGGTTTGATTTTGAATGTGCAGGATTAGCACAGACTCTTTACTAAGTCTCTCACTTAAAACCCCCAAAGAACCAGTGAAGAAAGGAGTCATTACAGACAGCCCCCCACTTACAATGGATCAATTTATGATTTGTTGACTTTAGGACGGTGTGAAAGTGACATGCATTTAGTAGAAACCATACTTCAACCTGAATTTTTATCTCTTCTTGGGCTAGTGATAGGCTATGTGGTCCTCTCTTATAACATTGGGGAGAGGCAGTAAACCACAGCTCCCAGTCAGCCGGGTAATCTGAAGGTCAACAATTGACAGCCTGCAGTCTCCTGTGCTGCCAGTATTTGGGGATGTTTGCTTTGTGCTTTTGTACCCCAGAAGGACTGTTTTACACTTTCAATTCAGTATTCAATTAAATGAAAATATTACATGAGAAAGACAACACTTTTTTTATAAAACAGCCTTTTGGTTAGATGATTTTGCCCACCTGTGGGCTAATGTAAGTGTGCTCAGCACATTCAAAATAGGCGAGGCCACCTATGATGTCCAGGAGATTAGGTTGAAAGTCAATCTTCAGCTCATGATGGGTTTACTAAGATGTAACTCATCACAAGTACTCTTGTTGCACAGATAAAATGGCACAGATAAAATGGTTAAATAATTGGCAACACCAGAGAATCGAGTGTATGTGACATGTGGTGTGGATGTGGATGTGTTCAGGAAAAGGATACAGGCTCACTTCCAGAAGATGCTAAATCACAAAGCCCTTTCACTTGCCCTCTTCCCCTGATACATCCATCACATTTCAGGACATTGCCCTGGTAAGAAACGACCTCTTTGCTTTATGTTGACATAATAAAGTGTTAAATCTCAATGGCGCTGCCAGAAAGCTCTTCCAGAGCTACATTAAATTGCACCAAGTGGGCTCTCACTTCTTCAGCTATCATGAGGTGTAGCAAAAAGGGTTTGTCAACAACAATGAGGGGCCATACACCTTGTACCCTTTGTTCTGATGTTTATTTGTTACTGCCACGCTGGAGACACAGACACCCATAGCACCTGCAGATTTTTCCACTCTATGTTGTGAGGTAATTAAAGACTGAAAGACAAGGAAGGAAAGGGAGTTCACCACCAATAAGAAAACTTCATTAAACAAAGCAGCACAAAAGAAACTGAGTAGCAGAGAGATGGGACAGGCACACTCTGAAGTCAGGGCGTATAAATGCAAACCTTGCTTCTGCCACCATAAAATGGATGACCTTGGACAATTTATTCATTGCACTTTCCCCACCTGTAAAATGGAGGTAATAATAATACAACCTCACAATTTTGTCACGAAGGTTGCATGATATCAGGAATGCAAAACACCTGCATTCAATAGACACTAGCTTTGGAGAGAGCCCTATGAGTCCTGTCCAGTGCCAGAGATGCCCTACAGAGCATCAACCACACTATTTATGGAGGTTAGGGGGACAAGCATCGTTACTACAAATAATAGTTAGTAATACAAGATAAGCAACTGTCACATGAGTCGTGTGAAACGCACTGTGAAAAATTTTTAAAAGACATAATCACAGAATTAGGAAAAAATGTTAGAGCACAGACAGGAGTCTAGATAAGGACTTGAAGCTAGGGTTTTGCAAGAGTTGGGGATAAAATCCAGGCCTCTGGATTCCTCCCGTAAGATTGTTGCACAAGATTATGCTACAAAATTACCAGCGAAAATAATCCCCTTCCCCCCCCCATTAACCCTGTCTGAAGGAGAATATTTATCATTTTATGTACAGAACCACAATAGGGTTCGCTTAGCCCAGTTTGGCGGTGAATTCTTTAGCTTTCCGTTTTCTCCAGCTTGGCAATGGGAGCCGCAGACTTGGGGCCCAGGATGTGGCCTGCCAGCGATGATGGCTTTCATCATCTCTGACATTGTAATCGGTCCTGAAAGTTTCCACCAGCTTAACGGAGGCTCCTTTGTCTTCCGGGTTGACCTTGTGAAGGCAGCGGTGATACAAGTCTCTCCGTGGCCCTAACGGCCCAGCCTCTCTTCCCATGGGTTGTACAGGGAACCCCATTTTCCCACACAGCCAGGCAGCGAGACAGCCAGTTCTATGGGGGCTACGCCAGGTGTCATCATCACCAGCTGAGCCTTCTTTCCTCACCAGGGTGGTGACAGCAGTTACCCTGCTCAAAGGGAGGGTTTTCCTCTGACTGGGGACATCCCTTGTGCCCAACTTTCTTCTCAGCCCAGGGCAACAACCTCTGCTTCTCCTCAGCTTGGCCCCTGTGCAGTGCTCCTGGGCCCGCTTAATTTTAAGCAACTGAGTAGCTCTTTGGCACTCCAAGGCCCAGATGAACCGATCATGGAGGGAGGCACGTCAGTCAGTCAATGAAGCTAAGTTTGGCGCCTGCAGCCTCGTGCAGCAGCAGCATCCGAGTGACCAAGCCAGTGAGGTCCCTTGGGGGCAGGATGGCGTGTCTGGGCTTTTTCTCAAACCCAGGATTCACCACCTTCTTGGCCTCCTGCTCGTTCATGTCAGAGGGGCCTGGGCCACCGTCTCCTCTTAGCCTTCTCCCCTTTCTGCATCTTGGGTGACTGCAGGAGCTAATGAAAATAAGCAACACTAGCTCATTCCTCGGGTCACTTTGAGCACACTGAGCATTTCGTACACATTATCTTCTATGAAACTGTAATGATAACCCCAGCAAGCAGCTATGATCTCTGCCACTACAGAGGTGAACGTTGAAGGGCAGGAAAGGTTAAGTATTGGCCCAGAATCCTACAGTGGAAAGTGGTTGTCCACTCAGGCCTGGAATCAGGCTCCTACCCAGCCACAGTGAAGGGCTGAGAAGGAGGGGAGGCCAGAGTGGCCAGAAGCAGGGAGCAGGATGCTTGCTCTCAGCGGTGGAAATAGACACTCAGCAAAAGTGGAGGGGCTGCTTACTGCCAGAGCAACTCAGCAGAGGTCAGCAGACACAGCTGGACAGGGTGAAGGGAGAGGCCAGGTCTCGAAGGTTAATCCAGCAGCAAATATTCCGTGCTGTGCATCCACTGTTGGCTTGGGGAACAGAGAGCTTGACATTGTAGGGCATTTTGGGGGTGTCCCCCGCTCCCCGGGAGCACACGCGTGCACTCCCCACCTGGCGGCACAGCGGAGCAGGCTCACGCCGCCGTCCGCCTTCTCGCCCAGGCTGCGGACTTGCTGGTCCACCCGGCCAGGCCGCCCGACATGAGGATCCTCCTCCGCTGCTGGACGCCGCTCAGGTGCCTCTGGCTCCCCAGGCCGGCCGGCCGGCTCCTTCACAAAGACCACCGGCTTCGGGCACCGCTGACCCTTGCGGACTTTGAAGCCATCAACCGCTGTGAGCGGCCCCTGCCCAAGAACTTCAACTTCGCCGGGGACGTGCTGGACCAGTGGTCTCAGAAGGAGAAGGTACAAGATGGTGCCCCTCCCCACCCCCTCACCCCCCAACATGCTTGGTGCCAGCGTCTTTCTCTGTGTCCTGCTTCCTTTCTGCTTCCTTGCTGCTTTTATTCAATCCACAACCTCTTGGCATGTGTTCTAACTGCTCAGCTCCCTTGCCTGAGGAAAGAGACTCCCCTCCCAAAGGCGCTTCCTCTGGAGCCCCCCCCCACCTCACTCTTTGTGGGGTCCTCACAGAATGATGCATCTCTTCCTTCATTTTTTTCCTTCAGCTCCTGCACAGCTCTGCCGGCCCCCCTCACCTGCCTGGGTTAGTCACAGGCTCATGTAAAAATCTGTCCGTTGCTCTTCGGCACAATGAATTATCTTGGCTAAATGAAAAAGAGAGAGAATGGGGGTTGGAGACAGTAAGAGGCAATGCTCCAGGTGTGTCTGCAGTGACCCCAGCTCAAGATCCCGGCTTGCCTGCTCACCAGTGCCTCCCCCTTGCCAGGCGCTGGGCTAACCACCTTACTTGTCCCTGCTCATCCAAGCACCCCAGGACCTGTGCTCCAGAAGGCGGGGGTCAGATGTTACTACACAGAGTGTTCAGTAAGGTCAATCAGTCTTGCTGTTAAATAGATGGGGAGGTCTCCCTCTAATTCCATTGTGTCTTTAACATCTTTGCCATGCTTGCTAAATTCTCCTTTCAACAGAGTGCACATAGAAATTGATCACGCTAGATAAAGTGTAAGCACATGCTGTGTTTTAAAAATATTTATTTTTCAGGAACCTATTGTTAGCAAATGGTCCTGATGGTGGTTAGATGTTCTGTCCTCCTTAAGTAAACGTATACATTTAACGTGAGTTGAAGTGAAGGAAACTACAGAGGACAATGGAACAGGTGTAGACAGGTCTGGAGAGAATCTTGATACTCCAGTGACTAAATATTGGGAAACCCTCACGTATATGATTTCAGCAAATCCCCATCACCTGGAGGTGCAGATAAGGAACTAAACCTTGTGGAAGTTAAGCTCCTTATCCAGGGACAGCAGTTCCAAAGGCACGTGAACCCATCCTTGGTTTTGGGGGGCTTTCGCCCACCGGCAGGGCGATCCGTGATCAGTGATCAGCCAGTAGAACAAAGTCCCCACAACAGGGACACAACACGGCAGGAACGCAGATGAGCCTGAGAGAAAGGGGTGAGGGGCAGTTGAAAGAAGACATTACAGAGAGGAAGTGACGTGGAAGGAGGCCAGGAGGGAGGTATAAGAGCAGTGTTCCAGACAAGGAAGAAAGGAGAAGTAATCCCGCCCCCCCGCCCCCACCGCCAAGGTCATACCTGAAAGCAAGGACTTTGTGCAGTACAGATGATTTGCTTTCTCAACACATGAGTGAAAATTTTCCACCAGAAGTCAATCAAGCTAATCCCCCAGTGGCCTCCACCCTGTTCTTTGTTACCTATAAAACACACCTTGGCCTTTTGGGTGACCGAAAATGTAAGGCTCCCGACCAGTCTCATCTCACACACTAGGGCTAGTAGGCTGGAACAGACGTTAACTTAACAAGAAATGCGTTCCTTGAGGGACAGAGAGAGTGCGCAAGATTGGGCTGGAAGGACAGGCTCGGCAGGGCAGGAACCACACCGTTCCCGGGGTGCAGAAGCACCAGGACCCCATATGCGTTTTGCACTATTTTCCACCTTTTGGTTCTTCTCAGAAAACTGACCTATGGTGCCCCAGCTTGGGTCAGACACCCACCCCCTATGGTGCCCCAGCTTGGGTCAGACACCCACCCCATGGTCAGGGAAAGATGGACACCGGGATGGGATGGCTCACTAGGCGAGGGCAGTGTCCCCAAAGGCGGAGGGGCTCTGTCACCAGAATCCATAGCTCTGCATCTTTCCCCCATGCCCCTGGCCAGACAGGAGAGAGACCAGCCAACCCAGCCCTGTGGTGGGTGAGCGGCAAAGGGGATGAGGTGAAATGGAGTTTTGGAGAACTGGGATCCTTGTCTCGAAAAGTGGCCAACGTGCTCACCAAGCCCTGTGGCCTGAACAGAGGCGACCGCATCGCTGTGATCCTGCCCCGCATTCCAGAGTGGTGGCTCATCAACGTGGCCTGCATGCGAACCGGTGAGTGTCCGGCCCGAACATTTCCAAACACGGCAGATGGGGGTTCTTCTGGCTTGTTAGTTCTCACTAAAGTGGTGCCTACAGAGGACAGGGAAAAACCGCTGAAATCATGACCAGTCGTCAGGGAATAGTCACTATCTTAAGAGGTAGGTGTTAGCGTGATACACTTTTTGCAGAAAAGGAAACAGAGGTGCAGAGAGGTTGAAAAGCTGCCCAGAGTCCCAGAGCTGGGAAGGGATGTGATCACTTGGCCCCTGCGCTGTCTGGACACAGCAAGAGTTCACCCCTTGTCATGCTGGGCCACGTGTTGGTCCAGGTGAGCCTGGACTTCCTCGGATTCTTCTCCCTCATGTGCAAACACAGAAAGAATAAGCGTCAGAACACAAGCACTTGTGCAAATGTGACTGGGTCCCAGCTGGGAAACAGCTGCCTCTTTCCTCCTCTTCTGAGGCAGCATTGGTTGCGACACTGTCAGTTTCAGGGTGCAGCTTCCCACATCTTCTACTCTAGGGCCCCACCCCACTTGTTCTTTTCAGCCAATACCTTCTATCTATTCTTCCCACTCACCTTTCCCTCTGGTAACCTCAGTTCTGTCGTCAGAATCCAGTGTTTTGTTAGCTGGTGTTCATTTTTACTTTATTACAATTCCTTTTTTTTTTTCTTTCCCTTATGCTATGAGTGAAACCATTTTTCTTTTTCTTTCTGGCTAGTTTCACTAGAACGATCTCTTCCAGCTCCATCCATGTTGCTGCCCATGGCATGAATTTCTTTTTTTGATTGCTGAGTAATATTCCATTGTGTGTCTGTACCACGTCTTCTTGATCTAGTCTTCTATTTTTGGGCATTTGGGTTGATTCTACAACTTCCCTGTTGTAAAAAGAGCAGCAATAAACAGGGGTGCAGATGTCCTTTTAATTAATGTTTTTGTGTCCTTTGGGTATATCCCTATTGAAAATCAACTAACAACTATAAACCAGAGATATTTTGCAGGGATGAAGAGGCAAACAGGATCAAAACAGGGGTGGGAAGAGCACCTGGGGTTATGGTGATGGCACAGGCATGAAGTGGAGGTGGAAAGTCCACGGGCATCACAACTGAGATGGAAAAAATGTACAAAATGGAGAAAGATGTAAAAATATATTTTAAAAAATCTTAAATTGGGGCCCTCCCTGGTGGTGCAGCGGGTTAAAGCACTGCACTAAGAAGCTGAAACCACTTCCGCATGAGTTCGATCCCCGCCTGCCCCGGAGGTGACCACATGGCGTGGCAGACCTCTCCTGGCCCGCCCGCTGCTCCCCTCAGCAGTGTACTTTCGTTGATCTGCCTGTTTTCTGCTCCCCACTCTGTTCCTGGTGAATCCTCTCACCCTCCGCATCTCTGGCTTGTACCCCAGTTCTGTATGAATAAATAAATAAATCTTTAAAAAAAAATCTTAAATTGTAAACAAAATCCAAGGTTTTGCTTTATCCACTCCTCCTTGGGTGGACACTGGAATCATCCATATCCCGGGTACTGTGAATACCGCAGTAAACACAGGAGCAAGTACCTTTCAAATTAGTGTTTCCACGTTCTTTGGATACTGTCGGGTAGAATTCCTGGGTCACAAGGCAGTTCAATGCTTTATTTTTCCAGGAAGTCCCCAAAGTTACATTACCAATTTCAGCAACAGCATATGCGGCTTCTTCATTCTTCACACCTGCCAACACTTGTTCTTGTCTTACTTAAATAGGTCACTCGCAGGTGCCAAATGACATCTCATGGCAACTTTGATTTGCATTTCCTTGAGAATGAGTGATGATGAATACTCTTTCATGTGTCTTGCTTAATATATGTCTTCTTTGGAAAAAAGTCTATCAGATCCTCAGCTCAGTTTTTGGACCAGGTTGTGCAACTTTTTTTTTTTTTTTAACATATGCAAGTCTTTATTTTTTGTATTTGTTTCGGGGGGGGAAGAGAAAGGGGCAAGAATGAGCATGTTTAGTAAGTTTAGTATTGGAGCATTTGAACAATGATGCTGGGCTCCGGACCATCAAGGGTGGTCTGTCTCTAGTTGCTGAGTGCTTGACCCCGGGGTAACCCAGTATTGGGTTGGGGTGAAAGAGTTAATAAAGGGGGTGTTGGGTCTGTGGACTGGGGGGTTGGTTGGGTGACATTTCCAAGGCATGCTCACAGTCAAGGGGTGTGCTTTCTCTAGAAATTAGCAAACCCTGACTTCTTTTTACATTTTGGATATTAATCTTGTCAGATGCATGGGTGGAGGATCTCTCCTCTCCATCAGCAGATTAAATTTCACTTCTGTGGTGGCATGGATGCTTTTTGTTTGAGGTAATCACATTATTTAGATTCTTGTCATAAGGAATGAGCACTTTAAAGCCAGGCTTAGCTCAAGCCAGTGTCCACAATGAAGTGAGGAGGGGCCAAATGAGGCCTGCCTCACAATCTAGCAAACTCTGACATTGGCAGGCCACCAGCTAAGACCCCATCTCATATCCCATCAGGTGGGATAACTGCCCTGCCCGCCAGGGTTGTTAGAACAAGGGTCTCCAGGCTTTTCTTTTGTTTACACACTTTATGGATAAAAATACTTGGGGCACCCTTGCACCCTCCTGGGCACAGTCATTTATATTGCTCCATAGTAGCAGATATATATATAGTAAAATACATACCAAAACAAGATAAAAACATAAAAGGAATTCTAATTCCTCAATTACTTTTCAGCACAATATGTCCTCTTATCTCCCAGAGGAACATCGTACAAAACTCTGACACCACTGGTGTCCACTTCAGGAGATTGAGATGATGTTCGTGAGTCTGTTATGAGCTCCACAGTGTTCCAGAATAATCGTCCCAGAGTACTGGTCCACCATTACACTACCTTCTATGCGTCATTCTTATTTCTACTTTCCCCGTTTCACAGGCGGGAAAGCAAGGCGCAAAGGGATAAGTCACAAAGCTGGGACGTCCCAAGCACAGGTTTCACCAGAGACTGTGAGCCCCGAAAGCCAGTGTTCTGAAGCTCTCCCGGGGTGTCCCACAGGGCCCTCAGCACTGGGTTCTCCCCTCTGGGCAAGTTTTCCTCACTCCAGCCTTCTCAGGGACAACAACCAGTTCAGACCCTCTCTCCCGCCTAGGGCTTGTCTTCATGCCGGGAACAATCCAGTTGAGAGCCAAAGACATCCTCTATCGGCTGCAAGCATCGAAGGCCAAGTGCATCGTGGCCAGCGAGGAGGTGGCCCGGGCAGTGGAGTCCATTGTGTCAGAGTGTCCCCACTTGAAAACCAAGCTCCTGGTGTCTCCGCAGAGTCGGGACGGCTGGCTCAACTTCCAGGAGTTGTTCCAGTGAGTGTTCTCCCCAGTCTCATCCGTGTCTCAGCCACATCCATTACATGTAGCCTACTGGAGTCTCCATGTGCCAAAATCTCAGCAACATTATGGGTTGATTTCAAGCCCTTTCTGGAAAAGAGTCACTTGATAAAATAAGAGGTTCCTAAGGGCAGAAAGAGGTGTCGCTCTCCTCTTTGGCCCTGCTTCCTCCTGTGACCTGTGATGTGTGTTCTGTGGCTGGAGCCTTGCCTAAGTCTTGGCCCGCACCTCCCACCACAATCCCTGCCTTGACTTGCTTTGATCACACTTTTATTCCTCAAACATGCCCTACCTCAGGGCCTTTGCACCTGCTCTTTCTTCAGCCTGGAATACTCTTTCCTTGTCCTCTCCACACCTTCTTGTTAGCTTTCAGCCTGACAGTTTCTCTTCAGGGGTTTGCCCAAGCAACTGCCTAGAGCAGAACTCCAAGTCACTCTAGTGCCTCACCCTGCTACTTTTTTTTTCATAGCTATTGTCACAACCTAAATTATCCTATGCATAAATAATCCTTTATTATCCCTTACTACTTTTTCTCCCTTAAGTAGGAATTGGCAAGTTTGGGCCATGGGATAATTCTGGCTCAGCACAAGTTTTGTAACAATAGTTATTTTGGAATAGCAGATAAACAATATGAAGTTTATGGGTGCAGAGTTGAGTGGACTGGGTGATCCACAGAGCCTAAAAATTCTACTAAAATGTTGTCCAACTACTGTCCTCAATGATACTCTCAAAAAAAGGTAAAAATGTTTTTTTTAAGTTGCTCACTTTTTCCTAGTTCCCAACCTATAATCAGTGCTTAAGAAATATTTCCAGAGTCAATGAATGAACAAAGCAGTTAACCTCAGTTTCTTCACATGTAAAATGGGGATAAGTATACTGAACATATCTCAAGTGTTGTTTTGGTGATAGAATAACTTAATCCTATCAACAAGAGAAGTCATTGATGAGCTTTAAGAAGGGAAATACTGGATTTGGATTTCAAGTATTTTTCGCTGTCAGCTATATTGATAAGGAATTCAAGAAAATTCGGGCTGGAATCAGAGAGGTCATCTTGGAGAATCCAGAAGAGAGACTAGGGGATTCTAGATCTGAACTCGAGGAGTGGTACAGAGAGAAGGAAGCAAATAAAGTGTTGCAAGGACTTAGAGAATTACAGGATGTGAATATCAAGACGGAGTCTTCTGCTTTTTAGCTTGAGTGACTTAGTGGTCAGGCAGTATCAGCTGAAGGAAGAACAGTAGCCGCCATATTGACTCTGAGGAGTCTGGGAAGATCAGGTGTAGATATTTTCATCTCAGATTCAAAGAGATAAAGATATAAATCTGGAAGTCATCAGCACATATATATGCATCTATGTATAGTTCTGAAAAATTTATCAATCAATCTCAGGTGAAAGAAGGAAAGACAAGCCAGAAAGACAATCCTGTCACTCATAGAGTGTAATATTTCTTCTTGCAATAAGACAAAAAAAGAAAAAGAAAAGCTTTATCTCAAAAGAGCCAACCTGCTCAAGGAGTTCATTTTAAGATCTCTCCCCCTTCTTCTGCCCACCAGAGAGGGCAGGCCGTGAACACTTCCTGAAATATTTGAAAGAACAAAATGGTGAGCCAGACTAATGTTGAAAGCATTCAAATATGAGTTTGTTTCCCCCTCCCCAGGGTATGACTATGAAGAAATTCTTTTTTTCCAGGCCAACACCCCTATACTTATAATAGAAAAATCAACATGAGTGATTTTTTTTTTAAATTTTGGGAGGCAGGGACAACTCACAAGCACACTAATATTTCATGAAAGTATTGTTGTCCATGTAGGGTGTATTTATATTTATATAGGCCTCAAAAGACTGTACTTTTCCCTTGCACTGGGGGAACCCAGCCACTGTATCCAAATGGTCAACTTGTCATGTTGGAGAAAGAAGCCATGTGTGGAAAAAGTGGTGCTTTAGCCAACAACCAATACCAGAGCCTCAGACTTTGAGTGAACCCTCTGGGGTCCTCCAGCTCCTGTCAAGCAAGTTGGAGCAGACATAGGGTATCTCTGCTGAGACCACACCAGCTCCTAACCCACAGAATCATGAGCAGTTTTACAGTTTCTATGGAAGTCGTATCTATTCATCATTGAGATATAATACACAGCATCCTTAAGCCTCTTTCCTCTAGGAAATTAAAAACATGAGCGCGTGTTAAAAATGGCTAGGTGCTTGATCAGTTATCCAACGATAAGCAATAATCACAAACTTCATGGCATAAAACAAGCACTGTATTTGCTCCAGTCGTCATGTACTCTCGCAACAATAGTCAAGGTCCAGAAAGTCAGGTGGGGGTGTGGGGACCAGCTTCCCTTCCTTGTGACTCTTTTTATTGCAAGGAAGGACGTCCCATAAAACCTTTACAGCTTACCAACACTGGCTCATATGCCCTTTGCTAAACCAGTTCTGAACTGGTTTAATACCATGACTGGGTCAAGTCAGTCAAGATTCACCAGTTACCTATCTGGCCTGTACGGAAATGGAACATAAATAAGAGATAGAGATTTGAGCTGTTAACACTTAGCAATGACTGCAAATTCCCTCTAAGAGTTCCTGGGAAATTCCTCTCGAGAAACTTTTGGACTCAATTCTGTTCTAGTAACTATCTTCTTATATCAAGTACACATAAGCAGCAGAGCAAAAATGAAAAGAAAAACCATGAGAATCAAGCAGGTCTGTCCTCTTCAGCCATATCTTGGGTCCCTATTTTGCAGATCTGCCTCTGCAGAGCACAACTGCGTCGAGACAGGAAGTCAAGAACCAATGGCCATTTACTTCACCAGTGGGACCACAGGCCTCCCCAAGATGGCCCAGCACTCCCAGAGCAGCCTTGGAATCGGGTACACCATCTGCGGAAGGTAGGGAGGTGGCCTCAGTCTGACTTGGGAAGTCCTCCCCTGAACTACCAACAGGTACCTCCAGCATCCCAGTTAATACCTCCACTAGGTTAAGCGCTAGTACCTCAAGGTCACATCTACCAGACAGAGTAGATGTCTGCCCAACGTCAGCTCAGTAAGCAGCACCATCCAACCCTCAGACCAAGCAAGAGTTTGGGAATCAACCTGTTTCAGTCCCCACAGCACCGTGTCTATTTACCAGATCAATTTACCCAACAGGAAAGACCCCCCTCATCTCCTAAAACTATGACATGACCCTGTCTTCTTTTCCATAGGTTATTTATCGCTATTTGAAATGATGATGTTGATGTATATACTTAATCATTTTAGTGTGTACTTACTGTCTCCCTAAAAGGAGCACAGACCCGATCTATCTTGCTCGCGTATATTTGCTCAATACGTTTGTGTTGCATCAATGGGAAGACTTAGAAAGTCCTGCCCAGTTCGACCTCCCATTCCACTGGTATAGTCTATCTGGAATTCTGAAAAAGCCCCTACAAAGAATGGGAGGTAGAATCCGTCCACCTGTTTCAGGGTTTCTTTTGACCCTTCTCTGTTGGCGGTCAAATTCTGGCCATTCCTCAGACACTAATTCATTTGCTTTACTGGTTTTTGGTTTTATTTTCTGGACTGATCTCTCGCTTCCCCCTGTGGTTTAGGTACTGGCTGGACCTGAAGTCCTCAGACATCGTCTGGAACATGTCCGACACTGGCTGGGTCAAGGCTGCCATCGGCAGTGTGTTTTCCTCCTGGCTTCATGGAGCCTGTGTGTTTGTGCATCAGATGGCTCAGTTCAACACAGAGACCTTCCTAGATGTAAGTCACCACTTCTACTGGCCTCCTCCCCGCATGTCCTCCAATCACATGATCCCTCCCGATCCAGAGCCTCTTGAGCTGATGGAAAGCATTCCTTCTTAAGAAACTAAGTGTTGGGCCTCCCTGGTGGTGCAAGGGGTTAAGTCTCAGCACTATGAAGCAATTCACTGCAGCAGGATCCCAGCCAGGGAGCTGACCCACATGGAGCAGCAGATCTCTCTTCTCCCACCCCCTCCCTGCTCCCTTTAGCTGTGTATTTTAATAGATCTGCCTGTTCTGCTCCCCACTCTGTCTCTGATGAGTCCTCTCACCACCGCCACCCTCGTACCTCTGACCTGTACCCCAGTTCTTGTATGCAATAGGGACTTGGCTATTGAATGGATTTAACAGAGACCAAAGGGGGAACCCCCACATCAAACCCATTCTTGTGCTTCAGTGTTTATTAACACCAGTGCTAATATCACTAAATGTAATATCATTTAGGGCTAATATCACTAAATCTATGGCTGCCGAAGTCTGGTTCTAGACAACAGATTAGTAATTTCAATCTAAGCAAACTGTTGGTTTCTGACCATGAAACAAAAAACAAATGCTGATAAACCTGAGTCCCCATGTGGGAAGGTTGAGATAGCATCACCTTTCCCCCAGAGCAGCTCCTGTTTTCCCCTCGCCACGCTTCTCACTCTGTTCACTCTCAGAATCAAATATTCTTGAAGCCTGACATGGTCTTCCTTCTCGGTCACAAAAGCTAGATGGAGGCAGCTGGTGGCTGTGATTTCTCTGGTCTTTAGTAACAGGTGATTCCGGTCAATTATTTTTCAATCATGAAAAATCAACTAAGATTAAGAAAATATATGTTATTAAATAAACACCATGCCTGTGTATGAATCAAAGCTGTTTTCATGCTGCTCTTTTACTAATTGGTCAGTCAAGACGGCTTGAGGGGCTTGATAGAAATGTAGGGAAGTGTAAGAACTAAGGTCTCTGCATCATATTTACAAAGTTCCCTGAAGCAGACAGGTGAACTTCGCAGTTTCAAAACCTACATTTATAAGATAAGGATTTTAGTTTTTATAATATATAAAAATTCTGTAATATTGAAATACAATCTTTAGTAGATATTTTTATTTTTTATGTCATATGCTAATAATATAATCAATCATTATATTAAACAATATTATTCATTAGTAATTAACACAATTTATTGTTGACATGTAATGATTAATATATTAAATAATGTTAAAATCATGACATTTTATTTTACAAAGATACTGTGTGTATTTCAGTGCTTCAAGAACTCTTACATTAGACTTACTATTACAATATACTTAAACTATTCTCCACTATCTACACTGAAATCTTAGGGAGCAAATAGACACAGTAGAAGTGCACTTTTCTGCTAGTCTTGATCTATAAGAAACTAGATAGCCCAGGTATAGATCATGAGAGCATCCTCTCAAATGCTTAGGTTTAATATAAGTTGCCATTTCATTATGTGAACTGACAAAAGAGGAGTCTAAACCATTGGTATTTCACCAGATTAAAGAGACCTAGCTGGGCCCTCCCTGGTGGCACAGTGGGTTAAGCACAGCACTAAGAAGCTCAAGCCACTTCCACATGAGTTCAATCCCCGACCCAGAGGTGACCCACATGGCGCGGCAGACCTCTCCTGACCCGCCGGCTGCTTCCCTCAGCAGTGTACTTGGTCAGTCGGCCTGTTCTGCTCCCCACTCTGTCTCTGGTGAATCCTCTCACCCCCCTGCACCTCTGGCCTGTACCCCACTTCTGTATGCAGAAATAAATAAATCTTTAAAAAAAAAAAAGATACCATACCTAGGCTGCTATTTGACATTAAGGAGCTAGAAACATAATGAATCCAGCAAATCTGAAACAATTAAGACCTGCAAAATGTCTTACTTCTGCATTTAATCAATCCACTCAAAAGGACTGGTGTTTTTCCTAAGAATGGTATTAGAAAGGTCCTGCTAGATTGGCTTGTATCGCGTCCACACCGCGCATGAGTTTAAGGGCGACAGATTTCAAGATTCCACTCTGAAAGGTCACTGCAGCCCTGGCGTAGAACAGCTGGTTTCTTCTTTGAGGTTGTTCTTCAGTTCAAAAATCCATCCTTGGTTTAATTTAATTGTGTATGTCTATTACTATAACATATACACATTCCTTATAATTGGAAATCGCCCACAGTAATTACATGTAGATAATCGCTAGTGACAACTGATGAGATGGACACATATGAATGGAGGGAGAGCAGTGTTGTCGCTCCAGCCATGGACATGAACTAACCACTGCTGACATCTGTTTATCTCTGCCCTCCAGACACTCACCTCTTATCCCATCACGACCCTGTGCAGCGCTCCGACTGTGTACCGGATGCTCGTGCAAAAAGATCTTACGAGGTACTCTGGCAGAAATCTCCATTTGAACTGCAGGCAAAAGTGATACTAGCCCCACGTCACCCAGGGCCCCCCCCCCCAGCTGGTGACATACTGGGCCAAGTCATCCTGGGTCATGGAGGGTGTGGAGAACCATCTCTTTGGCCTCTCTCTGCTAGATGTGAGTCTTCCCATTTGACTCCGGTCACGATGGTCAAGTGTCCCCAGACATCACCAAAAGTCCCCTGAAGGCACACTGCCTGCCTCTACCCCCTGCCTGGTGTACGACTCTTTGGGGTAGTTCCTAGGGGCAGCTGAACATTTTTCCAGACAGAGTCCTCCAGTCCCAGAACTCTGTGGGAACCACCGCCATTTAGAGACAGTTGTAGCAAAACATTTTTTGCTTTATTTGAAAACAGTATTTAAGCACAACTACATTTACACTGCCTTAAAGAGATGTCTTCCAACATAAAGATATTTCTTTAAACCAAATATCCAGTAGAATTGCCATATATATTTAACTCATGGATTCACAGGCGAAGAAGAAAGGAAGAGAGAAACAGTTAAGTAGCAGCCTGGGCCTCTGCTCCCCCATGGTGTGAGTGCCCAGGTGAGAGAGGGCTGCGAGAGACAGAAACAAGCAAATAGGAATTGTGTGTTTTCCTAGTCTGTGTCAACCCTTTTGTGACCTTTAAAATGTGGACATCTTGCTCATGTTTATGAGCAACTCAAGGGCTAGTCAAGGGTCATTTTGAAAAGAAGGGGTTCTACCACACCTCCGGCCCATGGGGGTCCTCAGAGGACCAGAGTTTCAAGGTTTCTAGCCTGAGGCTGGGAGGGGGGAGCAGTTGAAAGCTGGAACTTTAAGTAGTAAGGCCAGTGGCTCAAAGCTCAAGCGCTTGAGTGAAACAGGTGGGGACTATTGACGGTCAAGACAAGCCTGTCACCCTTCTTACTGCACCAGTAAGAGAAGACCAGGCGCCACGTGGGGAGGCTGCGGTGAGAAGTGAGGGCTCTTTGGCGAGAGAACTGCCAGGCGGTAGTGCAGAAGACTGAGTATCTGACTCGCCTTTTATTATTTGGGACACCTGGCGAGTCTCTAACTCCTCTGACCCTCACTTTGTCTGTAAAATAGGCGTTTGCAGTAGGTGCTCAATTAGCCGGCTCAGAGACATTTAACTTCATTGTCCGCCTTTTCTCCTTCCTGTCCCCTTTTTAACAGCCTGTTAAATATGCTCTCTGCCAGGAAACTTCTTTTCATGACTAACACATCTAGAGGAATGTCTGGCAACACAGTAGGTTCGCAACGAGTGCTGGCCCGGTGAACTTTCCTGGCTCGTTTGCTTGTTACTGGAAGGTTTAATGATCTTGCAATGAAAGCCACACCGATTTCTGCCCCCAACACTGCACAACTCTGTCTCTCCAGATACAAATTCAAGGAGCTGAGGCACTGCTTGACAGGCGGGGAGCCGCTGAACCCTGAGGTGCTGGAGCAGTGGAAGGCGCAAACTGGACTGGAGCTGTATGAGGGCTATGGGCAGACGGAAGTGGTATGTTTAATGGGTAAAGTTTGAACTTCACACATTGGGAGCCTTTCAAATCCAGGAATATCAACTAAGCCCCAGAAGTGCTCCCATCGGGTTTGAAATTCTTACCTTGCCAGTAATTTCTGGAACCTCGGAATTTTCCAGCTAGGTTTGGCTGACAGGGAATTGTGATTATTCCTGGCAGCCTTCCTGCTTCCTCTCACACAGATATGTTAAGGGCTGGGGACATTTGAAATAAAGCATCTTAATCCATTGCAGCAAAAAGGACCCCAAAGAGCCCTAGTGGAGAATTTCTTTGAGGGTGCACTCAGTGGTATCATTAATCTAAAGGGGTGATTTTCAAAGCATGGTTCCCAAGTCAACAGTGTCAATACCATGTGAGATTTTGGTAGAAATACAAATTCTCAGACTGTCCCTGGACTGGGGCCAGGCAATCTGTTTCAGCAACACTCCAGGTGATTCTGACACTACTCAGTCTAAGAGCCACTGGTCTCAATAGATTTCAGATGAGCTTGCAACTGGGAAACTCCATCACACTGTTTTAAGCTTCTATGTCATGCTACTAATAGCTATAGGAAAATGAACTTTTACGTACTTACAGAAAACATGTCCTCTCAATAGGGAATAATTTGTGCCAATCAGAAAGGACAAGAAATTAAACCAGGCTCGATGGGGAAAGGAATACTACCCTATGATGTCCAGGTGAGTTAAGGTGTCTGGCTGGTTCAGTAAAGAATGTTTATCATTTGATATTCATTATACCACTATTAATGTTTTCATTTTGTGAGAAAAGCTAAGACTGATATTCTTTCGTGCTAGATTATAGATGAAAATGGCAACATTTTACCCTCTGGCAACGAAGGGGAAATTGCCCTCAGACTAAAGTCTACACGGCCCTTCTGCTTCTTTACTGAATATGTGGTAAGAGAATGGAGAACACGCTGCTGCACTTTTAGTAGAAAAGATGGTCTGGGAAGTCACACAGAGCCCCAATTTTATACCCACCATGTTTTGCTAAATGATCATGGGCAAGTCACAAAACCCACGTCAGCTTAAGCAGCTGTAAAATGAGTAGAATTTCCCATTTAAATACTACATTTGATGTGTAAGAAACCAGTTGCTGTGGTGGTCCTCAGAAACTGGGCAGATTGTTTGGAGAGGCAGGAAGCCTCCCTTTGTATTACTCTCTTGGATGTTTTGTAACTTACACCAGGAATTACCTTTTTTAAACTTAATTTAAAAACAGAAGGTACTGGTCACTTCACAGGTTTCATACCCGTTTCTGTTTTGACCAAATCCCCAATGTCATCTTTGATTCCTAGGACAATCCCAAGAAAACTGCCGCCACAATACGAGGGAATTTTTATGTCACTGGAGACAGAGGCATGATGGACAGTGATGGGTATTTATGGTTTGTCGGCAGAGCTGATGATGTCATCATATCCTCCGGGTTTGTTCATTTGACACTGTTGGGAAGTGACATGTTGTAAGGAGAGGTCTTCCACTTGGGTGGTGTCGTCATCCAAGGCTTCTCCTCCATGTCTAGGTACCGTATTGGCCCCTTTGAAGTGGAGAGTGCGCTAATTGAGCACCCAGCTGTTGTTGAATCCGCTGTTGTCAGCAGTCCAGACCCAGTCAGGGGAGAGGTAAACATTGCTACTCACGTAGCAATTTCATCTTTTCAAGTTCTTCCATTTGACCTCAAGAGGAGTCAGTTAACTCTCACCAAGAGAAACACATGGCAAAAATGTGTATGAGGCAATCGGCTCTACAAATGAGTTGTGTCCCATAGGGTGTGTTAGGGTTCTTTTGGTGGCATGTGACAGAAACTCAAAGTGATTTAAATTAAAATGGGGGGAGGGAATTTATTGGCTCACTGTTCAGAGGTAATCTCTGGCATCGCTTAAGCTGCTATTGACAAAATCAAGCTATTAACTCTGTATCTAAAAAACCAAGCCTATCCATATATTGACTTTTTTCCCTACAGGTAGTGAAAGCTTTTGTTGTCTTATCTGCTCCCTTTAAATCATCCAACCTTGAGAAATTAACTCTTGAGCTTCAAGATCATGTGAAAAAAGCAACTGCACCTTACAAATATCCACGAAAGGCAAGTATTTTGCTCAAGTTAAATGTGTCACCAAATTAGGGTCTAAACTTGGTAAGTATATAGATCTTCTTAGCTTTGGTTTTACAGTAGTAAGTTCAGGACAGAAAATTGCATATACTCAAAATTTTTCTAAATCTCACTCAGAACCTCTGAAAGGAAAAAGGACAGACACCGTGAGTCTGTTCACCAGGAAAAGTCCGTCTTTATTTTCAGCATCAAGCTTATATACTGTAACAAAGGGGATTACTGTAACAAAAAAGGGGGGGCTCTACCATGGCCTGTGTCCATTGGCCAGGCCCCAGCTAGGTGGGTGGGAAGTATCAAAAATTATTTACAAAAGAACCTGTAAGCTGGGGTTTTGGGGTCTGTGCCCATGAAAGAGAATGGAGACAGCCAGACCCTAGTCAAGGTCGCGGGCACTTCCTTATCAGCCTGAGGCCCAGGACCGCTAGCTAAGCTAAACTGCTAAGCCAAACTGCTTTCCTTCAACCTCCAGAACCCAGCTTTGTTTAAAGCTCAAAAAGAATTAACTTGCGGTTTCCTTTGCACCTAGGCAAACAAGTTTAGAAAACTTTTTATTTCCCTGAGAGGACAGAAGCCTAGATCTGGTTTGAACTGGGGAAAAACAATAAAGGGATTATATTCTTCTGGCTAAGCATCTCAAGTACATTCGCACTAAAAGCCCTTATTATAGAACCCCATTTTCATTTTTACTACATAAAACGGGAGGTTTGGTGCCCAAGAAATTCAGTGAACTTAAGCTAAGTCAGTCTCCAGAGTAAAATCTACCCAGTGCAGTAATTCCAGAACACTTTTGTATTGACAGTTAATTGGTATTGTCAAAATGGAACCAAAAGTTCATGTTTTTCTGTTAATTAGGTGGAATTTGTGGAAGAGCTCCCAAAGACAGTCACTGGGAAAATCAAACGCAACGTTTTAAGAGACCATGAATGGGGACAAACATAGGCTGACAGAAAGCTAACCAATGAAGTAGTTCCAAGCTTATGTTCAATCCTTGCGTCATTTAACCGGCTACATGGAATGCTTAAGGTTTTTCCTGACTGAAAAACTTGAGCCTGTGTTTTGTACCTAGCTAAAAATTAAGTAACAATCCAAAACTATTTGGGAGGAAAACTTAAGACATCGAAACAACAAAGGCAATGATTATGACTTACAGAGCTGAAAACAGCAGTCCAATGATTACTAAGAAAAGCACAGAGGATAATGAATTTATTGTGTCTGGTTAATTAAAAATAAAGATTAGAGCTATTCTAAGAGAAATGTTCAAGAGAATTTTTCTAACATCTTTATATATTACTGAAACTAACTTTACAGTGAATTAAAATGTTACAATGAATTGAAGTACTGCATTACTACACCTCTTTGGAAGGAAATTCATTAAAGTTTAAACTACTTAAGCATATTTATTGAAAGCAGTAAACTACTTTTTTAGGAATACTTAATGACTTTCTAATATGCAATTTGACAAATAAGCACCTTTTATGATATATCTATACTTGTTACAGAGCAAAAACTTGACTGAGAACAGAATAAAAGAAAAATAGAGAACATCAACCTTTAAGAAACAATTTTTTATTTTCTGAAAATATCAGAACAAGCTGAAATATGGCCATAACAAAAGCAAAATAATGCCTGGAAATCATGTTTAACCTTGAAATAAAAAATTTTACAATCTTTCCTCTATAAAGCAAAACAAGTTTACTAAAACACAACATGGAAGTGGAGTTTTAACTGACTTGTTTTAAATAAAAATTGAAAGGAAAAAAAAAAAGCAAGCACTCAATCCCTACCCTGGAATCTCGTCGTTTATAAAAGAACACGTTCATTACAGTGAACGTGAAACAGTTCAAAACAGTCCATGAAAACAAGCGAAGAGCCTGCAAACAAATCTTTGAGTGAATTCAGATCCAAAAGAACACAGGCTGTAGAAATGGCAAACAGTTTTGGCCATAGCCAGGCCTTACCAAATACACATACACAAAGGAGATAAAACAAAGTACAGAATCAAAATCTGTCGAGTAGCAGCTTTCACAGAGAAACTGAAAACCAACTGTGCACAGCCATTTGTCCTACCAGCACGTGGCTGACGATATTCTGAGTCCCCAAAGTTTTGCACTATCTATGGGAGTGTCACAGCAAGTCAGATGAAGGCACCAAAATTCTATCTTCCATGTTCCCCTCAATATACTAACAATATTTTTATTATTCTTTCAAAATGACTTCAACTATTAACATCTAAATATTTAAAGATATACAATACAAGGAAGTTCCAGCCTCACTTACATTTGCAAAGCCCCGACTGTTCTCAAAACTCTTCTGGCCTGCTTTAAGCAGGCCCAAGAGCTCAATAACGTATTGCCATGTTCACCGGCAATTCGACGACTGCAGCCATCAGCTCGGGCACACTGAGCATTCACAGCTGCCAAACCTTTCAAATCGCAGAGCGAACCTGTCCCCAGAAGCTAATTTCCCATCTTAATATCCTCAGTCCGGGCATCTTATTTTGTAGTCTTCTTTGGTGTCTGTCTCTTCTAGCTTTTTAAGTTTTTCCCTGGAGGAAACACTGAGGAAACTCTCCAAAGAGGGGAACCCTCACAGTATGAGCAGTAAATCGCAGGATACTCTTGTTCCACAGAAACCCAAGCCTAAGGTTTAAACAGCTCCTCACAGTCATATATATCAGTATTGGGAAATTGAGGCAAAATGCTGTTTAATTTGGTTTTTTGGCTCTTAAAGGACTGAAATCTTGAGATTTGTTACTGTCCTTCATTTTCAAGCCCAAGTGTCTGTGGAACATTTCAAGAGTTCCCTTTGCAACGTGTTTGTTCCTAAGTCAGTTTAAAATCTAAGATCCTGATACTTTAAGACAAGGTCTCCATGACTTTGCAAAACGTGCATTTGTTCATCTAAACTGCCTGCTTTCTGTAGCTATTCTTCTCCAAGCAGTCAGAAACCTGGCCTGGCATCACCTTTGCACTCAAGAATCCGGCTGAGCACTCTCCCTGATAAGCCCCTGGACTTCTGCATGTAGCAGATTTAGGTGATCTTAGTTGAGGTTTTATTTTTGTGGGAGTTTTATTTTTTTAATATTCTTATATGAACAGGCCTGCAGTAAAGTCAACCAATTTCGTAGCATTATCAGATCTTTCTTCGGCTCCAAGTTTTGGTTTTTAATCAGCACCTCTGTGAGGAAGGTGGCATGCCGTCATTAAACAAAGGCAGCACGTGTCAGCCAATCCCCGGACAGGACGTTCTGGTTTATAGATGTGAAGTCACTAACATTTACGTTGGCCTATTGTGGGAGGCGCCTAGCAGCAGAGAAAGTTTTCTTGAATGCCTTCATCATTTACAACCTCACAAATACTAGTTTGACAACTATCTGCAAAATCTGTTGACCAGTCAAACCAAAAAGAGACACTGCTACTTTTCATTAATGACACAAAACTCCTTTAGTGCAGTTAACACTACAGTTTAGTAAGTAGTTAATAAGTTTAACTGAGAATGAAGTTTCCCATTTCTTGGACTGCATTCTAATATTAGTACTATCGGGTTCTTACCGGCTATGTGAGTTTTCCCTTCTGGAGTAAAATTCTACTAATAAATAATTTACTTCCTAAACCTTTTCACTGTATTGTGATTAAAAAAAAAAAAGCTTTTGATATTCCAAGTCATTTAAAATAATCACCACCTTCACTTCGCAAATAACTATGATTTAGTTACACTTGTTGGGGCAAAGCCAAGTTTTCAGTCAGACCTCATGAGCAGCGTACAATGGACTAGCGCAGCTTGAACGATGAGTCCACAGGAGACCAGTGAGTCGGTTCCACTGTGAAGAAAGTGTGCCCCTTTTGCATCAGCATCCCAAAGCAACTGAAAATTCAAATCCTCCATTACTACCCCCATCACAGGCCTGTAAGCCTATGCCCAGAACAGTCCGCTTTCATTTCCCGCCTTACCTTGAAATACTGGTGCACTGGAACATTGGATTTGCACCAAACCAATGTTAATAAATGTAGCTAAAACGGGCCTAATATAAAAGCAAGAAAATGACAAAAAGTACAAAGATTTCACAAAACAATTCACTACAGGACCAAGTTTTTGTAATGTTTACAACAAAGTGGCAGGGGACACATGAAACTGTGAAGTGTCAAAAAATTCTTCCTTAGAATAAAAATTTCTCTTGGAGTTTGTTTCATAGAGCTCGCTTGTCCCCATAAGGCAGCTAGCAGTGCAGAAGGGAAGGCAGGGGAGGTAAGGGAGAGGCCCCCTTCCCCCACAGCCCACTCTGTGTTCACAGCGCAGCCAGCTTCCCCGAGGCCCACAGGGCTGAAAGGTCTGTAACAAAACTTGGCCGGGCTCCTCGGCTGCTGCTCGCTGCTGTGAACATAGCGTTGCGCGCACACAGAATTCAAAAACAATCATTTCAGCAATGATTTTACAGGGAATCTCGGCCACATCTCGAAGCACCCCCGTTCAGAAACCAACACCGAATGGCCTTTTTTCCTACGAGTGGGCATTTTCATTTGACTTGGATTCTCCTGTGACTTTCCTTCCCAGTTTAGGGTTAGCTCCTCCCTCACTCAACACCTGTGTCTCGGACGTTGGTTTTGTCTGGCCTGGTTTCTTGTTATTCTCAGGTACCATCCGCTGGTTATGTTTTTCTTCTGCTAAGTCATTCTGATTTAACTGGTCACCAGATTCCAGTTTGGCTTCTTTCCCATTTCCTTTTTGTGCCGTCTGCTTTGGGGTAAGTTGTGATGAATCCTGAGCACTCTTTACCACCTCCTGGAGATTGTACTTTCTGAACAACATGTAATCTTTCAAAACGCTCAGGCAACAGACAGCTTTAATGATTTCTACCACCACTGTGTATTGTGGATTAGTAAGATCCACTTTATTTTCTGAATTGAGGCTGCCTACTATTCCTGAGGGGGGAAAAGGAAAAATATTTAGGATGTTACTAAGCTTGATACAAAAACAAACTATCACCTCTTTGTTTAGAACTTGCTAAAGCAGTATATTGACTCATCTACTTTTCTATGGAGATTTTAATCGAATAAATAACTACAAATGAAATGCTGAGACATTTAATAAGAGTATATAAGCACTATTCTGCACCCCTCCCAATCATTCTTGATTTGGAAAGACCCGAACATCTCATATGTAATATAATGAGATCAATTAGGTTTGAAATTACCTTAAAAACATCTTAATATGCTCGTTCTACATTCAAACTATATAAGCTTTAAATCATCAAACAAAATTCTTAAAAACAAGAACAAGTACTTACCACTGCACACCTAAATCACTAGGAGAAACATACCTGCCAACTCTTTGATAACTTCTTCTCTGTTCAGGTGACTGTTATTTCGACATTTGTATACAATCTGAAATGTCCCTTTGTTTGGAGCTTTAAACCAGGGTTCCAAAAATGTTTCTGCATATTTTTTCATGTCTTCTAAGAAAGCCTTGCACGTGCCTGTAATGGGTAACATTCGTAGAATAACCCGAGTCTTCTTCTTCTTGGTCCTGTGCATATCCTGCAGAATATGATGAACCAATTTCTCAGGCTCTAAAAGAAAAAGTCAGCAGAGCAAGTAAGAATGTAGGTTTTCACATATTTTAAAGAATCTTCAAACTGTAAAATGAATTTTCATTGGCAAGTAACATTAGTTGGCATTAAGTAAAGAATTTATAAATAAATCTAGCCATCTTTTACAACTAATATTTCCTTGCTACCTACTGTGTATTAAAAACGATCTACTATTTTAACTCTTCAGCATTATTGCTGCTTTCACTAAAAACAACTGTCAGCACTGGAATTTACATTTTTGTGATGTCCGATTTACTCAATGGAATACCATGCTGCTCTTTTCCTAGAATGACAACTATCAAAATAATTCATTTTTTTAATGAAAATCTCCAATGATTTAAAACAACTTGATTATCCACTAGCCAGGCTTACTTACAAGTCTAGCACGCACACACAGACCCTGGGAGGATGTCCAGAATGGCGCAAGATGATGACTACACACTGCTCTGTGTTTGCAGTGTTTTATATCAGTTATCTTCTCTTAAAAATCTACAAGCTTCTCCAGATTTCCAACTTTTCTGGAAAAACCAGAAGATCTCATCTGACAAGGGACTCCTTTCAAAAATGGCTTGGAGTCACTTCAAATTGGCTGCAGTAGCAGGTGCTTTGTTTAGACAGCACATGCACTTTTGTTTTGTCAAAAGTTACAAAGAAAGTGCAGAACCAGGTTTCTGTTCTTACACCGACACCATGTCCACTATCCCGTTCTGTCTCTCACATGCCTAGGGCTAAGAGAGTGGACAGGCTGCTATCCCATGACTGTTTGTAAGTAGCGCCCTGCAAGGGAGAGGCCAGGTCCACACACTGGTGCAGAAACCGCACAGCACATCACACACACCTATCCCAAGCGTCCTGATGAAGACCACATTATTCGCGCCGCTCTCCACCGACTGGAATCTTCTTAGCCTCAATTCTGTAGATGCCTTAATGTCACCAACTTCTTTCTTCAAGGCACTCTCCACATCATCATCTTCTTCCTTACTTTCAGAGGGCTGCTGATCATGATCTATAAACTGTTTGCATAAAACTAATGAGCAGGAATGCCTTAACAGCCATGCTAAAAGCTATAATTAACCACTTATGTGAAACCCCCTGTGGCAGATTGACAATATTGACAATAAAACCTTTTGTTAAAACACCACTCCCTCCAAGATGCAGAGGAAGATGGGCGTTCTCACAGAATCTTTACCTGTTATACATGTAATTTGAAAATGTTTTCAAAAGCAGCTTGACAGTCTGGGACAGAAGGAAATGTTCACCAAATGTATCGTAACAAAATAGTTATGGAACTGGCCCTCCTGGCACAGCACTATGAAGCCATCAGCAGCCATGACAGCACGAGTTCAACCCCTGGCCAGGAACTGCCCCACAGGGTACACTCTGTGCAGATCTCTCTTGCCTCCCAGCTGCTCCTCTCAGCAGTGTACTTTGTCAGTCTCCCTATTCTGCTCCCGGCCTTATGTCTGGTGAATCCTGTGCCCCTGCACCTCTGGCCTGTACCCCAGTTCTTATATGCGTGAGTAAATAAATTTTTAAAAAGTTACAGAATTAAATCCACCATTCCTGTACTGAGAATACAGAAATAGTTAAAAAAACTTGCTCAACACATAACATGCCCTTGTTGTCCAGTTTTCTACCATCAATGAGGCTGTTAATGAGGCACTAAGAACAACTATACATATTTACAGACTTTATTATATACCAGAATGTATTTCATGTATAAATAAATTTTTCACCAACCTTATGAAAAAACCATCATTTTCTTAATCTTGTTCAGCACAATTAATTATCAGGCCCATGCCCAAATTCCAGGGCTAGTGAATGTTAGTACTTAAATTCAAATCCCTCGGCTCTATCCTCCTCCAACTAATCCCTTGGGGTGTGCCGGTGAGGTAATCCAGATGCAGGAACATGATGCCTTCCAAACTGTGATGGCGCAATTACATTATAGGTGGCATTGATCGAAAAGTTTTTACTTTTAAAAACGTTATGATGTAGATGGCAACACAAGCAGCACCAGCATGAAACCTAGCATCTCAGATTTTACCTGCTTCAGACAAATTAAGTTTGCCCAGGTGAACTAGGGCCATCTGCTGTTAGGAACCTACTTGAACCTCAGCCTACTCGTGACCGTTCCCAAAGCTGTCCTAGGAGGCTGTTCCCGAAAGATCTTCAGAAACACAACACCAGGCCCGAGAAAGTAATCTACAAATTGAGCGCCCAGATAAAGACCCAGAGCGTTTAGAAGCCCAGAGCGCGAGTACGCGCACACCAGGTGCGGGGGAGGGGCGGGGTCCAAGAGGAGGGGCGGGAGCCGCGGGGCCACGCCCCTCGTCCGCGCGCAGGCCACGCCCCCGCCCTTCGCGGGCGGCCAGGCTAGCGCATGCGTTTCCGTGCAGGCGGCCTCATAACCCGCCAGCTTAACGCCCTCCTGCCGGTCAGCTTGTCCCCTCGGGGGGCCGTACCTTTTCCGGGCCGTACATGTCGTCCCCGTATTCGTTGAGCAGGCTGTAGGCCTCCTCCACGCATTTGCGCTCGTTCATATTGCAAGTGATGAGAATGCCCTGGAGTCCGGGCTCCAGCTGCCGGGCCGCGAGGCCATCGCAGCGTCGAGCCCTCTTGGGCTGGACGTACTGAGCTTTGCCTTTGCGCTTCCCGCCGCCCGGTTGAGGAGGCTGCTCGACTGGGGTCGCCATGGCGAGCGAGAGCTGAAGCGAACCACAAACGTGTTTCTCCACAGCTCTCGGCGCCCTCGCCACTGTCGGCGCGGGTTGCTTACGTCAGGTGCGCGCGCCGGCCTCTAGTCCCGCCTCCAGCCTGCGCGCCGTGCCGCGCTGGGTCCTAAAGCTGGGAGGCGCCTCGCCCCGACCCTCGGAAGGGTTAACAGGTGGCATTTGGCCGCGGTAGGGCGAAGAGGAGAGGGTGTCCCTGGAGAAGTGGCCTGTGAATCCAGCCACCTTATAAAGTATTTTAATACCAAAAGATTTGTCTGTATCAGTGTCTTTACTTTTGAAACTGATGTCACGGTCTCTAGGTCAGTGGTTCTCAGCTGTAGTCGCCCATTAGAAACCTCTCAGGAAATGTAAAATACACTTTTTAAGTTGCTGAACATGTCTCCCTGGTGGCGCAGGGGTTCAAGTCTCAATGCTATCACGGTATTGCCAGCCGCTTGCAGCCGGGCTCCATTCCCGCTAGGGAGATGACCCACTGGGAGCATCAGAACTGTCCTGACTGCCCGGGGCTCCCCTCAACAGTGTGCTTCATCAATCTGCCTGTTCTGCTCCCCACTCTGTCTCTGGTGAATCCTCTCATCCCCGAAACTCTGGCCTACAGCCTAGTTCTTGTGTGTATTAATAAAAAATAAATAAATCTAAAAAATGTGTATAGCAGTAATTTAGTGATTAATTATTTGCACAGTAGAGTCATATTCCTCAATTCTGAACGAAATCATGAAAAGCAAAAGGAGGATTTTTCCCATCATTGTCCTAAGAGGTATTCCCCTAATGCATTGGTCAAAATGATAGCAGTAAGAAGCCAGTAATAAAGAACCTCTCTTATTTCGAAGAGCTACATCTCTCAGATGCTAATATGAAATAATAGTCTTGAAATCCACATACATGTAAAAGAACTTTGATTAATAACAAGGGAAAATATTCACCTGCTTCTCTTCAATGACACACACCTGGTCATTGTTCCTTTTATATACCTGCCCCTCCAAATATTTTCTCATTTTTATTGTATTTTATATCATTTTTCATTTTTTTCAATGTATGCTTTCTCATCTCAAGTTATAGTCCCCATGAAATTCCCACTACCAGTTCACCCATGTACCATCACCATAGTCCCTTCTGCTCTTCCCACCCTTGTTTTGATCCTACTCCCCTTCCCTGCCCCCCCCCCAGAATGTGTCTGGTTTATAGTTGCCTGTTGATTTTACTATTTAATTTACTGTAATTAATTTTTTCTTGATCCCTTATTTGGATCCTCTACATTCCTCCTAAGAGTGAAACCATCTGGTATTTTTCTTTTTATTTCTGGCTTATTTCACTGAGCATGATCCCTACCAGCTCCATCCATGTTGCTGTGAAGTCATGAGTTTATCTTTTTGATTGCTGAGTAATATTCCATTGTGTATATGTACCACTATATATACCACGTCTTCTTGACCCCATCATCTATTTTTAACCACCCAAATGTTTGAGCACATTTATCTCCATAAGCAATATTTAATATCATAAGACTGTATTCCCTGTACCCTAAAGTCAGGATTCCAATTCCTTATACTTCATGCAGAAGTCAACACGAACCTTTAAAATCTCTAATGTTGGGCTTGTGCATTTGACAGAGTATTGTTCATGGTGAGCAAATGTAGAAACACAGCATTCTATTGACCTAGCTACTTCAATCTCACACTAAAGTTTGTCATGTACAAAGGAAAAAAATAGTAAGAGAAGGAAAGGTAATTAGCTTGATGCTAAACTTCATAGTTAACTTTTTGCTCACATATACTTTTTATATGACTTTATTCATTCTTTTGCTTACATCCCTAATGTTAAGATTGGAGTTCTGATAACAAGATATTAACTGTTCTATTCCACACTGTAGAATTAAAGTTAGAAATATTCATTTCCCTTTCAGGGCGCCCCTTTAGGTCAACTGCAGAAGTAATTTCATAAAACTGTGGAATACTTGAGGAAGTCTATTATTCAGGGGAGAAAGGCAGAGAATGCCCAAATTCCATCACCAGCAGAAAAAGACTGGGGTGAACACGTACCATGACCACCTATGACTATACAGATCTGTGGTCTTGTGTCTAGTTTTTTCTACATTGTGGTAAACATTTGCTAGTTTGTTTGCTCAACAAAGGAGTCCCCTTCCTCTTGAGGGGGGAAGTCCACCATTGGATGAGTCTGTTTGTGTACCATGGAAGCTTGAAGTGTCAGGTGTCCCTCTTCCCACCCTGTGGTGTGAGTATATTGCTTCACCAATCAGACAACCCTGTCTTGGGCTGAGCAAGTGTGCAAAGATTGAGAGCACGTGTACAAAGATGTAGGGCCTAGTTAGAATCCATCCCCGGGGGCAGCGGCATCTCGAATACAGGTGCAGCAGCTTTGTAGACATCTCGGAAATGTATACAGTGTCCAGACACAGATGGTGGCCACTAGGTCCCAGCTTCCTAAGCCCCAACTGCCTCTCCTTGGCACCTGTACCTCCAGCCTCACCTTTAACTGTGTCTGCTTCAATACATTTCTTTTTATACCAGGCTTGCCCAAGTATGTTTCTACATGACTTACTATGTTACCAAGAATTTGACTTGTGTAACTCTTTTACATTGCTTCTCTGTGGCCTTTTAAATCACAGCCTTAGCGACTATCATGCTAATGTATTATCCCTTTAAACTCATTGACAAGATGCCACTTTGAAGAATTTGTTCAAAAGAAGCAAGTGTTCCCTGTTCTCAACCCTGTCTATTATTTTTCTTTCATTCTCAAATACTGTGACTTGTTCCACAATTTCTGATTCATAGTAGACACTCAAAAGATGTGTTTGAATTGAACTCAACCCAAAAAATGCTCAATAAAGGGGAAAGGTTGACACACATGTTATTAAAGGGAAAAGTATGCCAGTCCTGCTGCCATCAAATCCTGCCAGAGGAGCTAAATGTGGTCTTTGGTCTCCTCCAGAATCTGTCTCTGCTATACTAACTGGATACAGTTGCCCATACAATGCCCCTGCTCTTAGGAACTTGGAGTTGGCCTGCAGATCAAAGTTGAGCTAAAAAAGTCACGCCTATTCCAAGGATTCAGAATCTCCAAGGACTTTGAAAACAGGGACAAGGATCAGTCAAAAAACTTTCTATTATACAACAGGCACATCCGAGGAGAAATGAACTTTGATGACCTGGAACTTCTCCAAAGTGATATTAATTAAGTGCCAGATCAGAGTGGAACAAATATTTAACATAAGAAATGTACATCTAGCCAGCCTTTTCACCATATAAAGACAGTAAACAGGCTTTATCAAGTTGAATGTGAAAGACTGAATGCTTCTCCCCTAATATCAAGAACAAGGCAAGAATATTTGCTTTCTCCATTCTTACTCAACATAGTACTGGAAATTCTATCTTGTGTATAAGGCAAGAAAATGAAATAAAATGCACAGAGATCTAAAAGGAAAAAGTAAAATTGTCCCTATTATGAGATAATGTGATTCTTTACATAAAAAATTCTCAGGCATCAACAAAAAAAGCTTTCTAGAACTAAAAGGTGACCAGGGTACACCTGTTTGTTTGTTTGTTTGTTTAAGTGAATTGGAGTTGGGTTTCTTCACATTTAACTGAGTCATTCATTCATTTACCCATCTGATCTTTATTAAATGACCTTACAGACACCATTCATGCTATGGTGATACATCAATTAAAGAAAATTCTTTCTCTCAAGAGTAAGTGATGTAAGCATAAGTGATGTAAACAGTTAAGACAGATTAAAGAGGGGAAAAGTGAGGGATACTATTTCAGAAAATGTGGTCAGAAAAGACCTCATTGATAGGACACCTCGTAAAATGAAAGGTTTGGCCAAGGGGAATCTGAAGTGTGGTCTGAGCGGTGGGAACTACCTAGACCTCCAGGCTGAAACACTCGTGGTCTGTTTGAGAAAAAGCGAGGGGACTTTTGTGACTGCAGTCGAGTGAGGGAGAGAGGGCAGTAACTCAGAGGGAACCCCGGGCCAGATCACAGGGTTCTTTGGAGTCCAGCTTAGGACTTGAAATGCACACACCTAGTGTGTGCCAGGACGCCCTGGAGGCCTGGACGGAGGAGCAAGCTCATAGCCCTCATGGCCACTTGTGACCAACTGCACAGGTAAACACAGCAGCTGGCTCGCTGAGATCCCGGGAATGCTTCTTTCCTTGTCCTTTTCCCTTTCAAAATCCCTTTATGTTTTTCTTCCATCCTTTTCTCTTTCTGCTGAAAGAAAACTTCCTTTCTCCCTTGGCAGGACAGCCCCTTGGGCAACCCCTTACACAATTTCCTTACTGAGAATCAATTACTTCCCCAGCCTCCCAAAAGCTTGCAGTGGATGGAAGCTGTTGAAATTAAAAGGGGACCTACTGCAGGACACTGCAACTTTCACTGTCCAAGTAGCCAGAACTCCGGCTCCTCCCTCCACAATGTCTCCACCAATCCGGGAAAGGCATTCTGGGCACAGTTAGCTTCTGATTGTCAGACTACCACTCAGGACTAAAGCAGATGACAGAGTTCACGTCTTGGGGCTGTTCTTCTAAGAAACGGGTCTCCAGTTGTATTAGAATCATCCCCAGGTGTCCTGGGGTCTGTCACTTCGGTGAGTATCTTACCTCATCTGCTGGGGAAGGTGTGCTGGGCTGGCAGAGTGCACTTGTGAGGAAAGATAGGTAAGCAAGTGGGATCAGGATCAAAAGCTCTCTCAAGGAAGTCTTGGGCAGCCGGGTGCTTCTCTCAGAATTTCTCAACTATTGTATAATGAATCTATTGTATCATGGCAGTTAGAACAGATCGGGCACATGTACATAGAAAAGGCTAGAAGCATAGTCACTGAGGTTTTTATTTTAATGTTTTGGTACTAGGTAGTTTTCTTAAAAACTAAGTCTATGTGTTCATTTGATAAAGTGTTTTCAAAAACAATTTGAGTGAGTAGCAGCTAACGTTTCACTGTGCTGACCTCCCTGCTTCCCCCCAGCTTAGTGGCAACAGGAATTCATCTTCTGCATCCTCCAGAGTATGTAAAGTCTCCAGAAAACTTAGGGAAACCTATACATGCATACCCACGGCAATAACCAGGTGGCCGAGGCGGCTCCAGAACTTGGGTGCTAACGTTTAAAGCAAGGTCTTGTTCGCGTGGGGGAGGGGCTTCACCCGCTTTATGGTTATCTGTGGCCAACCACTGGTCTTACTGGCTTGGTGTGGAGAAGGGTGACTTATGGAGATGTGAAGAGGTTAAAGACCCATTGCCCGGCTAGATGTAGAAGCTGCATTTTGGATGAGACCTTAAGTACTTGCAAAAGCCCATTCCTAGCAGAGACTTCTGTGGCTCAATAAAAAATCTGGGCTCACACTTGAGAAAGTTAGCTCAGCTCTTTCAGCTACAAAGAGTATCAGAGCCTGGAAAATGGATGTTATGAAGTGCTAAGATCACCTAGAAGAAAAGAAGATTTGTTGAACAGAAGGTAATTGTACGGTTTTGATGAGAACGTTGACAACTTCTTTTGGTCCAGTGGAAAGTGTAGTCAGCATATTGAACACGCTCAGGTTCGTGTTAAGCCCCAAATGACTGCACAGTTTTCTTTTCAGTGCTTGAAGGATTTGGAATGTGGTGAATAGAATAGTTTCAGATTTTCATCGAAATTGCCCAATTGAAAACAATTGGGATGACAGACAATAGAGGACTGGTCCAAGAAATTATAGGCCATGGTTCCCTCCCTGGAATGTTGTGCAACTATTTATAAAACAAAAGGAAAACATAGTGAGGAAGAGATCTCTGTACTGATATGGAAAGACCGTCAACATTCTTTGTTTAAAAAAAAAAAAAGGGCCAAGAATGGTGTGTATTCTAGGCGACCCTGTAGGTCAAAGTGCTGAGGCAGTAAGCACCTGGGCACTTATTTGATTGAATACAGGCAAAGAAACCCCAAGAAGAGACATCAAAGTAATCACAGCAGCTCCTTGAGGAACTGGGCAGCTGTAAGCCTGGGTGTGGGGGACAGATGTTGCATGTGTGCCTTTCACGTTTTTTGTTTTTTAAGATTTATTTATTTATTCAAACAGAACTGGGGTACAGGCCAAGATGCGGAGGGTGAGAGGATTCACCAGAGACAGAATGGGGAGCAGAACAGGCAGATGATCAAAGTACACTGCTGAGGGGAGCAGCGGGCGGGTCAGGAGAGGTCTGCCGGGCCATGTGGATCTCCTCCGGTGCAGGCGGGAATCGAACTCATGCGGTAGTGGCTTAAGCTTCTTTGTGCAGTGCTTTAACCCGCTGCGCCACCAGGGAGGGCCCCTTTCACGTTTTTTAACCATGGGAAGACAGTGTTTTAAAAAGTCAAAAACACAACAGAGAAAGGTTATATATAAAAGCCTAGTGTTGACTGTGACGCCCCATGAGAACCTCTCACCGGGCCCTCCCCGGTGGCACAATGGGTTAGGACGCAGCACTACAAGCTAGCCATAGCCACTTCAGTGCGAGTTCAATCCCCGCCCCAGAGCTGACCCACATGGCGCGGCAGACCTGTCCTGTCTCACCCGCTGCTCCCCTCAGCAGTGCACTTTGTCGATCTGCTTGTTCTACTCCCCACTTTGCCTCTGGTGAATCCTCTCACCACCCCTGCACCTCTGGCCTATACCCCAGTTCTGTAAGCATAAGTAAATAAATCTTAAAAAAATATATGATGCCCACACCACAGCCCCAAAGGGGTGACACAATTGATTTAAGACCCAGGCATAAGGTTTTTTTTTTTTTTTAAAGCTTACTGGCGATGCAAATATACAAGCAGGTTTGGAGAATCACTGCCCTATCGAACTCCTTTTGAAGTATGTGTGGTAAAAAGACCTGCCACTGGGAACCCAAAGACAGTTCTAACCCTGATGTGACATGCTGAAGTGTGCTGCCGCCATCTCTTGGGTTCTGTTTCCTTTGCAGGTGAAAATAAGAGGCTCAAACCACGTTCATGAACTTGCCAGGCCCTTACACAAGTAGAAGGGAAGGTGGGGAGAAGTATTCGGGGTTCCCAATGCATTGGGCACAGACAGTAACAGGAGGTTCAGATGCCAGGCCCCGTTAGAGCCAGATCCGTAGCTGACATCTGACATGAGTGATCCAGAAGTGTTTCCAGGTGGTCACCGCCCAGCTGCAATGGCAATTAAAAACTGATGACCTCATGATTGTGAGAGTCATGTTTTATTGTAGGAAATTTGGAAGATTATAGAGTGTGCAAAGAAGAGGCCCCCATAATCCCTGAGAGCCTCACTTAAGAAAATTCAGTCAAGTAAATAACATCATGATCAAATGTACCACAGAAGAAGGTGGGCTGAAAGGGCTGGAGGAACCTCCCCCACAAAAGTGCCCCGAAGGCTTAAAGACCCCTGTAATTATACCTCCAGCTGTGCAGCCTGAGTCTGTGCCCGAGGCAGGGTGGGCCCCTGCTGGGAGCATGGGAACTGGGACCTATAAAAGCTAGCATCTCTGACTGCGATTGCACACCTGAGTGGGACAGGTGACTCTGTTTCTTCACCTCTGGGTCAATTGTGCAAATTCTCCTTAACACTCAGCACTACTTTTGAAATCTGCAGATACAAGATCAGGAGGTTCAGACCTTTGCTGCTACTGAGGGCAGCTAAGTGACCTGAATCTTTTCGTCTTTCGAAATACATAAGGGGCCCTCCCTGGTGGCGCAACAGATTAAAGCACAGCACTACGAAGCCAGCCGCAGTCACTGCAGCTCCAGCTCCATCCCAGCCAGGGAGCTGACCCACAGGGTGCAGCAGACCTCTCCTGACCGGCCCGCTGCAGTGTACTTCATCTCTGGCGAATCCTCTCACCCCCCACCCCAGTTCTTGTATGCATAAATAAATGACAAAAATCTAAAAATAAAAGAAATACATAAATACATTTGGGAGGCAAGGACATGCTGGTAGCCAGCAGAAAGCCTGGACCAGACAGCTCTGGGTTCGAATGCAAAAACTACCTGTTGAAGGATGTTTGTGCTGCACCCAAATCCTCATACTGATACCCTAAGCCCCAACAGGATGGCATTTGGAAGTAGATCTTGGAGAGGCAATTAGGTTTAGGTGAGATCACGAGGGTGATGCCCAAAGGATGGTGCTAGTGTCCTCCGCAGAAGAGACCAGAACTCTCCTCTCCACCATGTGGGGACGCAGAGGGGAGGCAGCCACCTGGTACAGGTATAGGACCTTCACCTGAGGCTTCTCTGCATCCAGACTGTGAGAGATACAGGTATGCTGTTTAGACTGTCCTCTCTGTGGTATTTTGTTGTGGCAGCCTGAACTAAGACAGCCTCTTACTAGTTATTTTCTCCATCTGTAAAGAAAAATGATGATACTATCTACCACACGGGGTATAACGATACATTGCATGTAAGTACTATTGTGATGATTAATTACAGTAAGGATGAACAGTTGCTTTGGGGTCTGGTGACTTCCAGGACAGAATGACAGCAAATCCTCTGCTTGTCTTAGGTGGTCGGGCTCCGTGGAGCTTCTGAGTGCTGACACCCACCAAGTCCGATGCTAACTCCTGTCACCATGGGGATGCTACTTCGAGCCCAGTGTTTTTGGCGTCTAGCAATTCCTGGTTCTGTGAGAGCACTACATAAAGATTCTAGAACAGTGACCCCCCAGAATTTCTCCAGCTATGAATCCATGAAACAGGACTTCAAATTGGAGATTCCAGAGTATTTCAACTTTGCAAAAGATATCCTGGACCCATGGATCAGTTCGGAAAAGGTATGCAGAAAGGGCCAGTCAGACGAGTTTACCAACTCGGACCGATTCTGCCCCAGCAGAACCTTGGGCAAGGTCTTGAGAGAAATTTGTTGCTCTGACTTGAAAGACAGTGTGTCTTAGTGGGTCGAAGCCCTTTTAATAGTCTAACACACAGGACCGTCCCCCCCAGCAGAGGACTGTCAGGCTAAAAATGTTAATAGTTCTATGTTTGAGAAATGATAGGTTAAGAAAAAAAAAAAAGGCAACACAGTTGATTATAATTTAAAACAAAACCAAAAAGGAAGTAGAGTAAAAAAGGTGATTGCAATTCCAAAACAGTAGGGAATGAGGCCTAGATAGACCATTAAGAGAAATATAAAGAGATGCAGGAATCAAACTTTTTGGAAAGAAAAGTTATCAGGCTAAATGAGAAATGACATGGCTCCCTAGAAATAAGAACCCCAAGTTATTTCCCAAAAAGTCCACATATATCTTGACTGGTGACCTGTGAGTTTTCTTGAGAATATTTCTAGTTAGTGAGTGGGAAAATTTAGCTACATCACCACATTTAGATCTGCAACTGGTGTGTCTTTCCTCAGGCTGGAAAGAGACCTTCCAACCCAGCCTTCTGGTGGATAAATGGAAACGGAGAAGAAGCGAGATGGAGCTTTGAGGAGCTGGGATCTCTGTCCAGGAAATTTGCCAATATACTCACCGACGCCTGCGCCCTGCGGAGAGGAGACCGGGTCCTTGTCATTCTGCCCCGGATCCCCGAGTGGTGGCTGGCAAATGTAGCCTGTCTGAGAACAGGTTAGTCACGTTCGATCATATTTCAACTAGGCGGGTGAGAGATTTTCCAAAACATCTAAGAAACTGTCAGACGCCTGTGTCTGAATATAGATTGTTCTCAATACAATATTATTCTCAGGACCCTCACAAATGTGCTGGAAACCTGCCCTACCTTTAGACCTAAACCGGGAGTTGAATTTTTCACAACGAAGTAGGTTTATGAAATGAACACCCATTCACAAAGTGATCTGCTCACACTCAACTGCTCCTCTCCTCCTAATGGTCCCAGGGTCACCTGAAACTCAGCGCAGCCACGATTTGAGACAACCCTGCACCTCAACACCCCGTCTTATTTCTGCCTTATCCCTCTCCTGATTAATCACCCGCTCTGTGTCCTCAGCCAGACATCAAAGCGCCCTCCTTTCTAATTATTTCCTAAATCTTACAAATTTGACCTCTTCCATGCTTCGAAAGTCCCCCTGCGTCTCCCGGTCCACCGCCCTTGCCTGACTTCACGTCTCTGATTTTTTGCATTGCGCTAACCGCGTTGGGCTACAGCGTCGCACGCGTTTTAGCGGTGCAGGATCGCCCCCTTCAGGTGTCGCTGAACTAGTGCACACATCGTCTCGGGATTGAATTTCACCAAGTCTCTCTGATCCTGCGTGCCACGCTCCACCCCAACCCAAACCACTCTCTACAGCCACGGTTCCTTCTAGCCCTCTTAATTTTTTCCCTGTGATCGTGTTGCTTGTCTTTATATAATCACTGGCCCGCCTGACCTGTGGGATAAAACCTGCACTTCTGTAGGTATGTCACGGAAGTTCTAGTCATCCTCCCCGCCCTCACTAGCCAGGTTCGGTCACCTCAAGTGAGTGCCTGGAAATTACGTGACCTTTCTCATCGCTGGGGTTTCTTTTGTATAGTTTCCCACGCACATAGTCGCCAGGACAACTCCCACTAACCTTGAAATCCCAGTTCTAAGGACCCTCTCGCAGGCAACACCACCCTGACACTCCAATCCAGAGGCTTTCTTCTTTGGGCTCCCCCCAAATGCTTGTATTTTTAGTTTAGCCTGTACTATATTACCTGAGTCTATCTGCTCTCAAATCTGTTAATCCCCACAAGATTATATGGCTGAAAGGTAATGGCTGTCTGTGATAGAGTCATCTCTGTACATCCAATGATTGGCATTTAGTAGTGCTCAGAGAAATATTCATTAACATCCCTGTTGTCATAATAAACCATTAAATTACATACCGTTCCTAATTATTCTAACCATGACTTACCTTTAACAAGCACTATGTGCTCTGATCTCATATGTTCATATAAACTACACAGTGAAATAGAGAAACCACATTCACAGTTTATTTTTTTAAGATTTATTTATTTATGCATACAGAACCGGGGTACAGGGGTGGTGAGAGGATTCACCAGAGACAGAGTGAGGAGCAGAACAGGCCGACTGATGAAGTACACTGCTGAGGGGAGCAGTGGGAGGGTCAGGAGAGGTCTGCCACGCCATGTGGGTCAACTCTGAGGCTGGGGATCGAACTCATGCTGAAGTGGCTTTAGCTTCTCAGTGTTGTGCTTTAACCTGCTGCATCACCAGGGAGGGCCCCACTTTCACAGTTTTTAAACAAAATGATCACATTCAAGAATGCCGCCAAAGCTCACTGTTTACAACAGTAAACAGCTGTTTATCAGAACCAGAAATCCACTGATACCATTCAATGAAGAAGAAAAGTTCATGCATACCCCCTGGAGAAATGTCAGCTTCTGCAAGGAGACAGGTGATTCACTGGGCAGCTTCACTTTCTTTCTCCAAAGTCACAGAGCCTCCTCTGACTTTTTTTTTTTTTAAGATTAATTTATTTATTTATACAGAACTGGGATACAGGCCAGAGGTGCAGGGGCGGTGAGAGGCTTCACCAGAGACAGAGTGGGGAGCAGAATAGGCAGATCGATGAAGTACACTGTTCAAGGGAGCAGTGGACAAGACAAGAACGGGCTGCTGTGCCCTGTGGGTCAGCTCCCTGCCCTGGGATTGAACATGCACTGCAGTGGCTGTGGAAAGCTTCGCAGTGCTGCGCTTTAGCCTGTTGTACCATCAGGGAGGGCTGTTTTTTTGACTTCTCATGAAATCGTGGTTTCTCTGTTCCCCTTCATTCCACTGGTGCACAACTTTGACTTGCTACACAGATGCCTCAGCTGCTGCTCTTGCATGTCCCATCTGTTAACACACTGTTATTTCTTTTCTGTGCCTTTAGGAACCGTTTTAATTCCAGGAACCACTCAGCTGACCCAGAAAGACATCCTCTATCGGCTACAATCTTCAAAAGCAAAATGCATCATTACCAGTGAGGATCTGGCCCCAGCCGTCGACGCTGTTGTGTCTAAATGCGAAAATCTTTGCTCCAAGCTAATTGTGTCTCAGGAGCCCAGAGAAGGGTGGGAAAACCTCAAGGAACTGATGAAGTGAGTAGTTATAACTGCCGTAGAACGGCTCCTTCAAAAGGCAGGCAGCGATGAGGAGATGGTCAACTCAGAAGTGATCAGAAATAGGAAACATTAAAACTATGAACTGTGGGAACAGCTGTTATTGGTGCATGCATAGTGCAGGAACTCGGAGGCAAGAGGAGTTTGGAGTACTTTTTCTAAGTTGGGTATCCAGGAAGCAGACTATGACATAAAAACTAATTGGGTAAACATTCACAAGACACTGGTTGTAGGCCAAAACTGTTCCAAGCACTTCCGATTTCTTAACTCTTTAAACTCTCACAGCACCTTCAAATCATGCAGATGAATAAAATCAAATATAAGGATTGGCAGAGCTGGGTTTCAAACCCAGGGGCCTGACTTCAGAGCTCACCCTCCACCGCTGTGCCCACTGCATCTGGCAGCCAGAGACTGGCACAAAAATGTGGCCTTAGGTGTTCATAGCAATCATCTCTGTGAAAGAAGTGATAGGTTCACAGCCAGAGGGACTATTTTTTAAGAAAGGTAGATGTGACTCTACACTTGGTTTAGCTTTGTTAGACCAAGAGATTTAGGTCTAGCTATGTCCTAGGGCCTGAATGTTTCCGATTTTAAAACCTGTATGCTTTTTAGACATTGAGGTTATAGCCTCTCAGCTGCCATAATAGAGTGTTACATAGAAACCCAGCTATCCTTTGGCACTGAAAGGTTGTCTTTCACCTTACCTGGGGTCCTGCCGACAGCCTTATTGTTTACTGTATTTAGGGCAATGTAGGCATACAGGAAACAGAAAAAGCATCCTTTGGTGGACCAGCAGTTGTTTTCTATAAAAGGTAAGGAGAACAAATATCTTAGGCTCTGCAGGCTACATCACAGCTACTTGCAAAAGCAGTGTTGACACACAATGTGCGACTGTGCTCCAGTAACATTTGTTTACAAAAATAGGGAGTGGGCCAGATTGGGCTGCTCTATGCCATTACCCAGGAATTCTTTTAATATCTTCAGTTTTTCAAACCACCTTTGAAAGCACCCACAGTGAGGGGAAGGAGAGTTGTGCACCTTCCAGTGAGGACAAGATCATGGAATCCTGATTCAGTTGGCAATATAATAAAACTCGTGAGTCTTTTATATGCTTCAACTCATCCTCGTCAGACATTGAGATCTACAAAATCAGCTGTTGTATGCTGGCTTTTGATGGCAAAGTTTATTTTGCTTCCACAAAGCACGATCCCAAAAATATGGCGAAAGAGGTGGTTTTTACCTTGGAAGTCAATCTAGGTAACTAGGGCCTGAACCATGCAATGCAGAGGTCTGAACGGACAGTTTTTCAGTTTTCTTTAAAAAAATATATATATATATATTTATGCGTATAAGAACTGGGGTATAGGCCAGAGTTGGGGGCTTAGGAGACTATTCACTAGAAACAGAGTGGGGAGCAGAACAGGCAGATTGACTGAAGTACACTGCTGAGGGGAGCAGCAGGTGAGACAAGAAAGGTCTGCTGTGCCATGTGGGTCAGCTCCCAGGCAGGGGAGTGAATTTGCGCTACTGTGGCTGTGGGTAGCTTCGTAGAGCTGGATTTAAGCCCCTGCACCACCAGGGAGGGCCTGAAACCCATGTCTGTGGTGACTACCTAATATGCTGTGTGTGATGTGCAGGTTCACTGTGACCTTCCTTTGTAGACAAGCCAGTGACAGCCATACCTGCGTGAAGACAAAACATGATGAACTCATGGCCATTTACTTTACCAGTGGGACGAGTGGTTCTCCTAAGATGACCGGACACACCCACAGCAGCTTAGGTTTAGGGTTATCTGTAAATGGAAGGTATGTTCCCAGAACTGTGACTCAGAGCATCAAACCTGGAGAGGGCTGATTCTTGGGCTTTTCAAGTTATTCCCACTGTGTACATCAGAGATGTTCTTTGTCATGCAGGTTCTGGCTGGACTTGACAGCTTCAGATGTGATATGGAATACTGCAGACACAGGCTGGGCAAAGTCTGCGTGGAGTAGTGTTTTCGCTCCATGGATCCAGGGAGCATGTGTATTTGCACATTATTTGCCACGTTTTGAGCCAACTTCTATCTTGCAAGTAAGGCAGAGCATAGAGTTCAACATCTTGACAGGTATTAGCAGTGTCAGTGGCGAGGCTGGTAAATAAAGTAATTTGTGGAAACCAGAGTAGATAATTCCTCTTAAGATACTTCAAATCTAGAGTCTGTAAGCTTGAAAATATACTTGTGTTGGATTAAAGAATGGTGCAGGTGTACTGGGCCTACCTCTGACATTGAGGCAGTTATTCAAATTGTAGTAAGATTTGTTTATTTTAAATTGCAGACACTTTCCAAGTTTCCCATCACAGTCTTCTGTTCGGCACCAACTGCATACCGAATGCTAGTACAGGATGATACGACCAGGTAAGGAAAGTTGTAAGTAGGCACTTAGTGGGGGTTCGGGAAGGAAGAGGAAGCTATAAAATAAAAACTCTTTCTGTAAAAACATAGGTCAGGGCCCTCCCTGGTGGTGCAATGGGTTAAAGCACAACCACTTCAGCACAAGTTCGATCCCTGCCCCACATGGCATGGCAGACCTCTTCTGACCCACCCTTTGTTCCCCTCAGCAGTGTCCTTCCTCGATTTGTCTGTTCTGCTCCCTACTCTGTCTCTGGTGAATCCTCTCACCACCCCTGTACCCTAGTTCTGTATGTATAAATAAATAAATCTTAAAAAAAAATAGGTCCATGCTAGTAAGTATGAGATTTAGCCATCTTCTTCTCCTTCTCAATTATCGTTTTTAAGTGGTAATTTTTACATCCAGAGAGGTCTCCCCTAAGCAAGAAGGGAAGTTTCAAGCATATGCATAGCCTGAGTCCATTGATTATGGGTAAGAGGTATTTAGTCTTTTGGATGATGACTTAACCTGACCTGAGGTTAAGTCAGGAATGAGGATAATTTTTAAAAATCTAGTTCCTATTCCATTTGAACAGGTGGAACACTTTCAAATCAGAAATAAATCTAGTTCCTATTCCATTTGAACAGGTGGAAAACTTTCAAATCAGAAATAATTCACAGGATATAAAACACAACAGCTATATAAGAATATGTAGTGAAAAGTCTTTCTCCAAATCCTGTCCCCAATCTCAGTACTCCCTGAAATCCATGGGTAACAAGCTAATATGCTTGTGATCTCACTCTTATTTATAGATCTAATTCTGTATCTTCCTCTTTTCACCTAATAATATCTCTTGGACTTGTGCGCCTCAATATGGTAACCACTAGCCACATGTCCTTGTTAAACTAAAAGTTCCTTCCTCAGTTGCTCTAGGAGAGTGACACCCGCGTGACAGAGGTTCTATTAGACAGCCCTGCCCAGATGTGTCCTCAATTTTTTTTTTATTTTGACAGTTGTATATTATCCCATTGTAGAAATACTCCACCCAACAACTGGTAAACATTTAACTGCCCCATGTAAAATACAGTTATGTGACACCTTTCCTAAGGACTGCATGGCTTTTATTTGTTTGCTTTGGCAACAAATCACCTTTCTTTCCCTTTCAAATAAAAGGAAGAAAAGAACATGAAGAACAGTGGTGTCTGGGAAGTTAGAAGTTAAATGGTATTTTGTATCAGAGAGGGGAGTCAGGAAGGAACTAAAACTTCCTAGAATTTCAACATAGTCCTCGTTTTCATGACTCTCCATTGTTCTTCCTAAATTTAACTCGTTCTGTCTTTGGAGAAACTATAAGTTCAAAAGCTTGAAACACTGTGTGAGCGCCGGGGAGCCCATCAACCCGGAAGTGACCGAGCAATGGCGGCAGCGGACAGGGCTGGACATCTACGAGGGATACGGGCAGACGGAAACGGTACGCCCTTGACCCCGGCAACGGGGTTCCATGGAGCCCGAGAAAGGAAAACCAACGTGTGTGCTTAGGGCTTTTGCGCAATAGTCAGGGAGTAGAGTGGCTAGAGCAAGCGCACAAAGAAAACTTTGAGAGACCATTGTGGCCTCAAAGGCAGGTAGACTTGTTGAAATAGCTGTTCACGGAGAAAACCGCGACATTAAATAGGCTTCAGTTGAAACACACTGGATCTGCAAAGAGATTCCCCCTTCTGTAATAAGGAACTTTCTCAGGGTTGTTTAAAAGTGGAAAAACACTGAGTTCCTTGTTACTTGAAATGTTAAGATTTCCTGGATAACTCCGTGGAGAGCATATTCTAAAATGGGGTTATAAAGAGAGCTCACAGAAATAAGAAGAAAGTCTACAGGAAATGAATAAAAAAGTCATGATTATGTAGGGAATGTGGGGGCGTTGGAGGGGATGAAGCAGGTAAGTGAAAGGCTGAAAGAAAACTTTTGGTGTCTTGTTATAATGCTTCAGGCTACAAGCCACTAGAATGAAGTAAAAAAAAAATTACCAGAAATAAAAATTTAAAAACAATGACAAATCCAGAAGACACAGCATTGGTATTTCAGTAAATATAAATATATGAACGGTTACAACTTTATATGTTTATTCAGTGTCTAGTTTTAAACTCCATGAGAGAAGAGAATTTATTGTTAACCTGGTTGGTAGTAAGTTCCAAATAAATATTGTCGAGTGAGTACATGGTGGAGGAACAAATGAATTTTAAGTAACTTGTAATGTCACTCTACTCTTTCTTCTTCATTAGGTGCTAATCTGTGGAAACTTTAAGGGAATGAAAATTAAGCCTGGCTCCATGGGAAAGCCTTCTCCTGCTTTTGATGTTAAGGTTGGCATAGCCCCTCTGGAGAAAATTTAACACCTATTTCACTTTTCCCTTCACTCACAGTCCTAGTTTTAGTGATTTTGTATTTCATATTTCCATGATAGCTTAACTTCCATGTACAGGTGAACATGGGTAAGAAATGTTATTTTGGTCTTCCTTCTTTAAAAAAGAAAAGATTGGCCCTCCCTGGTGGCGCAGCGGGTTAAAGCACTGCACTGAGAAGTTAAAGCCACTTCCGCATGAGTTCGATTCCCGCCTGTTCCGGAGGTGACCACATGGCCCGGCAGACTTCTCCTGACCGCCCGCTGCTCCCCTCAGCAGTGTACTTCGTCGATCTGCCTGTTCTGCTCCCCACTCTGTCTCTGGTG